AGATTACAAATTTTAGGATTCTTCTCTTATACCCTCATTGTCCTTCAAACACGAAGTTCTGTCTGTTTCCAGAAAAAGAAAAAGCTGCAAAGTCAATATAGAGGAGTGCATACCAAAACTCTTTTTTATCATGTTTTTGAGGAAGTTTGATTCTCTTTTTTACCTTGAGAGTTGTACTTGTGTGCAAAACAGTTTACTGATACTACACTTATCCTTTGGAGGCAGGGGTTGAGCTAGCTAGAAGATACTATCTCAAGAGTACCAACTGCGTTGTTTCAAAACTGCATTGCTTAACAAAAGAGAGACTTGGAGAGGATAACAGTAGAAAAGACCATCAGAAACACTTGAGGTACAATAAATCATACAATGAACAATTTGTTTCTGAATGACTTTTGAATTTTTAACAGGAGTAGTGGGTCATATTTTACCCTTTGTCTGCACCATTCTTCATAAACACTTATAAATTGAATTGTCCTTATTTTCCAGCCAAATGGTCCAAAGGAACTTTGTCTTTAAGGAATTAATATTATATTTGAGAACAGAAGAGGCTGACTTTTTTGGTAAATGAGCTCTTCTATGGGGCAGGGAGCCCATGCCTTATGCTCTCTGTTTCCACCTTCAGTGTGCAGAGGCTTTTCACACTTCTAATTGATGTTGATCCTTTTGTAGCCTGGTGCTATGTTTCTTTTGTCAAGAAAGTGGGTCTATAGAGAAAGTTGTGAGGATGCAAATTTTCAGATGCACAAAAGATTTTGTTACAAGCTGGAGTCTGACAATTTTTAGTGGAAATTAGATGGTTCACGTCCTTTATAGAATCACAGAATGGCTTGGGTTGGAAGAGATATTTGAAGATCATCTAGTCCACCCCCCCACCATGGGCAGGGACATCTTTCACCAGATCAGGTTGCTCAAAGCCCCGTCCAACCTGGCCTTGAACACTTCCAGGGATGGAGCATCCACAACTTCTCTGGGCAACTTGTTCAAGTGTCTTACCACCCTTACCATAAAAAATTTCTTCCTTGTGTCCTATCTAAATCTACCCTCTTTCAGTTTAAAATCATTCCCCCTTGTCCTGTCACCACAGGCCTTGGTAAAAAGTCTTTGCCTTTCTTATAAGCCCCCTTTATATATTGAAAGACTGCAATAAGATATCCCTGGAAACTTCTCTTTTCCAGGCTGAACAACCACCTTTCTTCACAGGAGAGGTGTTCCAGCCCTCTGATCATTTTTGTAGCCCTTCTCTGAACCCGCTCTTGTGCTGGGGTCCCTGGAGCTGGAATACTCCAGGTGGGATCTCACCGGAGCAGAGTGCAGGGGGAGAATCACCTCCCTCGACCTACTGGCCAGATCTGATTGATCAGACCAAATGAGCTGTTGCTGTTTTCTGAATTCCCAGCTGTGTATTTATGTGTATTCAAAAATCTATCACCTTCCAAAACCAAGTGTCAGCAAGACCTCAAAAATTTGGAAAATAGGAGATCAAACTTCCTGCTCCAGTCTTTGTGGGGCAAATTACTGAGGGATAATGGGGCTGGCCCAAGACAAATACTTCTGTCAGACAACAGTTTTAATTCACGCAGGCATTACCAGACAGCTTTCTATTAATAAAACTGCAATGTACACTGTGGCATTTATTTATAAGATGACTGTGTGCTGGTATTTCATTTGTTGTTTGGCTTGCACAGAATGAATTTAAGTCACTAAGTGGAACTTGTTTCATACAGGCAAAAGCTGGAATCAAAAGAGGGGTGGAGAGCGTGCAATCCCAGCTTTTCAGATGTAGAAATGCATTTTCCAAATATGAATTGTTCTTTTTTAAAAAAAGATTTATATTAAGCTGCTTTCAGATATTTAAATAACTTGTGTGCATTGTATGGGAGCAGAGATGACATTTTAGTATCAGGGATGCTATATATAAAATGATTTTCTAAAGAGTCCCTGTCTAGTGTCAGAATTTTCTACCAAATCTTTTTTTTCATGCTAATCTCAATGTCATGCCTCCATCTAGGCAAACAGAGCTCTTCTTGATGTGTCACATCAACATAAAATGAGAGGAAATTGTGCTTAATCAGGATGCTTTGATATTTTTTCCTGTTGCATTTCTTGGTTATATGTGTTGTCATAATCCAAATTCTGGAGGTTGGGCTTTTTCCGTGATGACCCACAGTGTTATCACTAGAAATCTCACTAGGCTCTATGTTCATATTTCCAGTTTTAGTACACTGCAAACCTCCTAAATCTTTAAAGTTACACAGCTTGCCTAAGATGAGTTTGAATGATGTAGTGTTTAGCCAATCTTCTGTTGCCTCTCCCAGCATCATTACCTTTTAGGTGCATAGTAGTTACAGTCCCTGGGCTAAACTATGCTTTTATTTATATCTTTCAAGTAACTTGTTACATATCAGTAACAGTTATAAAAGCATTTTGATTTTTTTTTTTTTACTTTACAGAAGGAGACTGGAAGATAACTGTAGTCACTGGGGATTTTGTAACAGCTGGCACAACAGCAACCGTATCCCTTTACGCTTATGGAGAAAACAAAGCTTCTGGTCCTATTATTTTGGGATCTGGGAAACACCAGATGTTTAATCCCAACAGTGAAGATACATTTAAGGTATAGTATGGCTGTTATATAAACACTGGAGAATTCAAAACATATACAAAATAGCTTTTGTCAAAACTGGATAATAGCGGTAATAAAAAGGACTCAAAGCAATATGTAAGGATCATTGAATATTTCTGAGGGAGTGGCTGACTTATGATAGTAAGATTTCAATCAGCAAACGTATCCCGAACTGCATCAAGCAGACATGCCTCTCGCAGAATCTGCTTGATACCTGCATCTGCTTGATGTGCTAGTTTTAACTAGGTGTTGTTCATTTGCAGAGGTAGAAAAAACTTTCTTTGCTTGTTCTTTGCGTTGATGTAATAAGATAGTCCTGGCTATGGCTTGTGTTGCGTATCCATCTTTGGAAGCGTCCACTGTAAATTTTTCCCTGGGCTTTCTCAGACTTCTACTGAAGCACACTGTCGTGCAGATCTTTTCTTGGAGAAAGTAAGAAGGAAAGGGGGGATGGCTAGGGACTAGAGTCAAATCACACTGAGTAGGTTAACTCAAGTGATTTAGACTAGCGATGTCCTACTTCTCCAAGCAAATGGGGAGGTTTCTCTCTTCTTCAGAGAAACCTCTGAGAGGTACTTCAGAAGCATGACATTTCCCAGGGCTTCTCCAAGTTCCTGTAATTCCTACAACTTCTTCCAGTTCCTATAGTTCCTCAGGAGTGTACCTGTTGCAATTGTTAAATCTGCAATCTGTTATTTAGGTTGAAATAATTTATGCGTAATAAACAGATGATGGGGAATCAGTGACAGATAGGACAGGAAGTTTCTCTGATTTTTTTTTTTTTTCCAGTTTGAAGTATAAATATGTAAGTTCTTGCAGAGGCAAGTCAATGGCAGTCTTTCCCTTACTTTTATTTAAGTTGAAAGTAACTTGGCTAAAGTTTGCAGATAATGCAAACTCATTTTGAGTTGCATATCTTGATAAAGATTCTCTCATATCAAAACAGGAAGGTGAAATCAGTGTTTATCTGAAGACTAAATTTAAGTGTTCCTTTTCAAATCGTTCTGTCTAGATGATCATCTTGGATATTTATTCAGCTGGTTAATGCTGTCTGACAGCAAGTTCTTACTCGTTTATTCAGTTCATTGAGGGAAGTACCAAGAACATTTGTTTGTTTTCTTTCTCTTTGGAAGGAACAGTATGTTTCTCAAAGCATCGTTTTTATCCTCCCAGCATCAAAGCAGGACCTGATACCTGGTCCAGGAGCTCTGATGATCTGTTGCTATCCACACTAGCACCCCGGTTTAGGTCTTCTACACTGTACCTAGGTCTTTGTGCCTGATATTTTTCTTTGGTGATATACCACTGAAAGCCTGGAAGAGGCTTGGAGGCTAGGCCCAGCACTTTGGTGCAGTTTAAGTGTGGTGAATCTGGACTGAGGAGTACAACTTAAACCTTCTACAAAATCTAATTGTGTAATGAAACTTTTAAATTCGTGTGTAATGAGACCTTTAAACTTCAGGGGTTCCTGAGGAGGCTTCTCCCTGAATTCTAACCACACCATCAAAGCTTCAAGGTTGACCATCCATTATTTCTCAAAACCACTTACTTAACTTTCAGTCTGTGCTGATCAATGGGGAGAGAAAGAAAAGAACAGATAAAGTAATTTTGCTTCCTCTTCCCACATTTTTCCCCCTTAAATGTCTCAATTTAATATGGTATGAGTTTTTTCTTAATCCAAAAAAAAGCTGTGTTTTCCAAATATTTCACCACTTTGTAACTCTGCAGTTTTCCAACATTAGGAGCACCATGTAATAGCATCAGTGTTGCTAAAAACTGTGGAGTTGCAGAAAAATTGTATAGCCCCTATTGCTTTCGTTTACACTAGTTTAATCTGGTAAGTACATTGGGGAAAATCTTGACTAAATGGTCCTTGATTTACAGTCTTCGTGTAGAAATGTGCTGCATATTTGAAGGCTATTTAAACTCCAGGTAACCACCTTTGTTTTAAGAAAGTGTTAACTGATGCAGGGAGCTGCAAGAGTTCAGCATAATAGAATGGAAAAAAAAAAGCACAATCATGTCCCACAAAAACAATCAAAGTACCATCTCATTTCAAAATCCCTTTGGTCACAGATATTATCATAAGAAATTACAGAGAAATGGCCCACCAAAAGAGAATGAGACAAAACTGTACTGGATTATCTTAATAAAAATCAAGAATAGTAGTGTGACAGAAAGTACAGTTGACTGCATAGTAACTTGGATACCTAAAAGTAAATAATGAATATTCAGTAACATTAAAAATAATGAAAAAAGAAAGTTATTAAAACTTGACTAAATCAAATGGTGCTCCTCTATTTACTCCTGAGATTTTGTTGCTCATCTAGAACGTGATTTTGATGTTGCTTGCATTGCTGTGTACAGCTGGTGTAACTTCATTAAGTTTGGCTCTCTCTCTTTAAGGTTTGTGTAAATTAGACTAAAAACTGGTCGACCTCCAGTGTAATGGAGGTAGAATGTAACAAGGCTATTGCTCTTGGAGACTTCCATATGATGGTGGCACATGAAATTCACTGAAGGTAACTTACAGATACTGTGTGATGGGGAGAGTTCTTGTTTCTGACTGGAGTCTTGGGTTCTAGGTACTCACAAGACAGTTGTGTATAAACTGCACTATATTTGCCCTTGTGGCTTAGCAATTTTTCCTACCAGATGGGAAAGTCAGGGATGAACAATATGGGAATGGGAAAGAAAAGGAATGTAAATTTGATGGATTTCCCTTTCTGTTCTGTAATTGTTCCTGTGTGTTCAAAGAAACTACTTCTAGGCTATGGTTTTCTGCTTCTGTCACTATTCAGGCATAGTTTTTAGGGCATAATATTTCTGTTGAGAGTCATTCCTCCTCCAATAGAGGGACATCAATCTACCATAAGTTACAGCTTTCATCACAACTGTGATCTGTTTCCTGCATTTTCCTCTGGTGTCATCACAGTCCCTGAGTATTTCTCAGTATTTTAAAAATACTGATTTTGGCAGTATGTTGAGTTGCTCAAGACACTGAAGCTTTAATTATATTGTAAATTATATTCTCCAGAGCCCTGTATTCTGCATCATCATTCTTTGAAACATGGCGAATTATCTCTTAAGAGTATACACACTGTTTGATAAAGAAATTCTTTTTATAAGTATTCTTTTAATGTTTGGTCATGCCAAATATTCCCTTCTGTGTCAAAGAGAATTAAGCAGAAGACTGTAAGCCTATTATCTTCTGTAAAAGCCAGCTACAATCTCTCAGTTTTTATAACTTCAATACAGAATAATTCCATACCTTCAGGTACAAGTTCTGCTCTTTTACTAACAATGAAGTCAGTAAAAGCACTGACTGGTTCAGTAGATGTGCTTTCAAAATATTGTATGCTAGCCTTAGTGAGAGTGGCAGGACCTAGCATGTCCTTAACAAGAATACTTCCATGCTTTGCTTTGTGAGTTTGCTTCATTATCAGCTCTGCAATCTCTTTAGGGCAGTGTTGCTCTTACTGATCTCAATACATTGTCAAGTTTATCTTAAATAACACTGTATTAAGGTATTAAGAGTGCTGGATTTTTTTCTAAGAAATCTTCAAAATTTTCACTTTAACCTTATGTTATATTTTGTAGTTGGTGGCTGTCTTTGTAAGGGAGATAGTTGTTCCATTCTTGCAAGCATGGGACATGGAGTATGCGTGACATTTTAGGAGAATTGGAAACTGGAATCTATCCCTGGTGTGAATTTTGCTGCGTGAGCCCATTTCTCTAACTTGTAAAGCTGGTGCCATATTCAGTTACACTATTTAAAGTTTCTTCATCTGTATAAACAGTCCTTTAAAAACTGCCATAATCTACGAGGGCAAAATGCCAGAAAGTAATATAGGTAGATGAAAAGCAGGGCTCCTACTAATACTTGCAGGGATACTTGATCATAAAACTTAATAAATAGTGTTCCTGTGATGAGATTGTTACAGTGTTAAAACCAGCCTTTTTCTTTCCAGTTACATGTACCTTGTTTGTAAAGAATTGTGTTCATCAGGTGCACCTTATGCTGTATTGCATCACATAGAGGCGTTATACTTAGAATTTTATCTGTTTTTCATTTTGGTTTCCTCCTGTTTCTATAAAATTATCAGTCATTTTAAATAATCTATGCATTAGTAATTGACACTCCTTCCTTTAGAATCAGCATTATGGACTGTAAAAATCTGTCATGTTTCACTGTGTGTCTTTCATTCCTGTACCCTGGATCCATGTTCATTCTTTCGTCAGTCAAAACTGAGATCTCTAAAGTAAAATGAGAATTAGTGGGGAGAAAACCAAATGTTATAAAAATAGGTTGAAACAAATCCATTTTCATGCTTTTCCTTCCATTATTGAAATAAAAGAGCCTGTAATGAGCTGTAATCTCTTCCCAAGTGGGAAGATTGAAAAAGTGACCGCAAACACTAATGTAGCTATCCACTCTCTTAACCATGGGACTCCCAATGCCTAAAAACTGGGCATAGCTTCTGTCCTGCTATTTTCCAGCTGTCCCTGTTTGCCATAACAGCCATTTAGGTGCAGAAACAGTTGAATAAAACTTAGAGAAACCCAGACTTTAGTCAGATTATAGAATCATAGGATCATAGAATAGTTTGGGTTGGAAGGGACCTCTAAAGGACATCTAGTCCAACCCCCCTGCCATGGGCAGGGACATCTTCAACGAGAGAAGGTTGCTCAGAGCCCAGTCCAACCTGACCTGGAATGTTTCCAGGGATGGGGCATCCACCACCTCTCTGGGCAACCTGGGCCAGTGTTTCAACACCCTCAGCGTAAAACATTTCTTCCTTCTATCTAATCTAAATCTACCTCCCTTTAGTTTAAAGCCATTCCCCCTTGTCCTGTCACAACAGGCCCTGCTAAAAAGTCTGTCCCCATCTTTCTTATAAGCCCCCTTTAAGTGCTG